GCTCCTCTGCACATTTCGATGTGATGGAGACGGGGTACGACTTCATTCTCGGCACTCCGTGGTCTCGTCGGTTCCGCAGCACCGAGGCTGATTGGGCGACCGACACTCTCGTTCTCAAAACGGAGTATGGACAGACGTATCGCGCACCTTTCATAGGTACCACTACGACACCACGCTCCGATCCTCCTCCCCCGGAGCCTTCTGTGCCCACACCATCTCCTTCTATCACTGTCACCTCGCCTCAGTAGTTCGCTCACTTCATCCGACAGGACGACGTCACCTTCTTTATGGTGAACGTGACGGATCTCTTACACTATGATCCACTCTGTCCCGGCGCCGAGCTCATCCCTCTGGAGCCAGATCCTCCTTCTATCTCCATGGCTCCCATCTCTACTTTTGTCCCTCTGTCGTTCGTCGAGTCCACCCCGTCGTCGCGCACCGACGCTGACGCTGAGGAACTCACACGATATACCGCTGACCTAGAGCCCGCAATTCGTGACCTCATTCGAGAGTACCACGACGTTTTCCCATCGTCGTTCTCGTACGCTGGCATTCCACTGATGCGCGACGTCGAGCACTCCATCCAGCTTGTGTCTGACTATCGTGTTCACCACCAGGCACCCTATAGACTCTGGATCCCCGAGGCCACTGAACTCGAGCGTCAGCTTGAGGAGCTCCTGAGCCTGGGTTTCATTAAACCCAGCAACTCCGCGTGGGGTGCACCCATCCTCTTTGCTCGCAAAGCGGATGGAACTCTCCGTCTCTGCATTGACTATCGCGGTCTCAACCGCTATACGGTTAAGAACAGCTACCCCATGCCTCGTTCCGATGAGCTGTTCGACCGCCTAGCATGCAACCGCTTCTTTACGAAGATTGATCTTCGTAGCGGTTACCATCAGATCCGAGTCGCTGCAGCGGACCAGCCGAAGACAGCGTTCCGATCGCGCTTCGGCCACTACGAGTTTATGGTGACGCCCTTCGGCCTCACCAACGCACCCGCTACCTTCCAGAGGGCGATGAACGACATCTTCAGGGACATCCTGGAGCAGTACGTTCTCGTATACCTCGATGATATCCTGGTCTACAGTCGTACCCTTGAGGAGCATCTCAGACACCTCCGCGACGTCCTTGACCGCTTGCGCAGACATGGCTTCTACGCCAAACTGAGCAAGTGCCGCTTTGCCCAGCACAAAGTGGATTTCTTAGGACATTACCTCCGTGTCTGATCAGGGTCTCCACATGGTCGACGCGAAGATCACTGCTATTGCGGAGTGGCCCGTCCCCACATCCGCCAAGCAGCTTCGCAACTGCGTAGGCCTTACCAGCTACTATAGTAATTTCATCCAGGGATACGCTAGGTATTCCTACGTCCTTACCTCCACCCTCCTCCGGAAGAACCCACCTTGGGCTTGGACACCCCTCTACGAGGACGCCTTCCGCACCCTCAAAAAGGCGGTGACATGAGCACCGGTTCTTCACCTACCCGATTTTGATCGCCCTTTTATCCTTACCACTGATGCGTTAAACTTTGTTGTAGGAGCAGTGCTTTCTCAGATCTTCCCCTCCTCTCTTTGATTCCTCTCATCCTCGTTGTCGGTGCGAATACCCTGACAAGGGTATCCGCCCTCGGTTTTGCAAGTGACAGGAAGTGAGTTTAAGAGTCTGTGTACCGCGCGAGTCGCGGCTAAGTCTGTTGGGTTACATTGATAGGGTGGTTGACTAGAGTAGAGCGTGACTGGGCGCGCAGTCTTGAGGCGCGCGTGTGATTCTCCCGTTTGATTAAGCAGCCGGCCTAGTTGGCCGACCTGATTTTTTAAATTTATTATTAGGAATAAAAGGTTTGTTTTTATTTAGGATGGTTGACCATTGATAGGCCTGACGTACGAGGTGGGGCGCGAGGTGGCCACGGCACGAGAGGGTAAGCCATCGCGGAAGTCTAGTGGCGGCATGCTTAGTTGGAAGAAGGAATGAGGGCCGGGCTGTTTTCCTAGGCCTGGGGGCTGCGCAACACCCGTTTATATAGGATACCGCGCGCATTGGTCCCAGGCTTGGGCTTAGCCCTATAGGTTACGGTACTGGACTTGCACGGCAGAGGTACGGGGATTGAGACCAGCAGGGGGCGGCGCTGGAGCGGCGGAGAATTGAAGGCGCTGAGGGGTTGAGAGTCCCGTGGGACTATCCCCCTTAGTTTTGTTGGGGGAATCCAAACGCGGGCCCGTTTGATTCAAGCTTTTATTGATTTTATTTTATATATATATATATATACTTTTTTTTTTTTTTTTTTTTTTTGCCAGTACCGGTTCCGAGCCCGGGCCAAGGGTCCGGAAGCACGACCATGGTGGGTATACATATGAGGGAGTAGCATACAGGCCGTGATCAAGGCTAAAGCGAAGGGGAGGGGGGCACGATGGCTCTCTCCAGCGGTGGGCCCGACTCAAAGACCGTGTGGCCATAGTAACGCAGGGCACTGTCCGATAGAGTCCGTCGGGACATCCGTTAAAATTGGAACGATACAGAGAAGATTAGCATGGCCCTGCGCAAGCCCGATGCGTATAAATTAGTGAGAGGTCCGACAACCGATCGTTTTCTGATGCTTGGGTACTGTCGGACCACGCCAAGTTGAAAGAGCCGAGTACAGGGCGCTGTGGAGCGAAGGGGCTGGGCAGGGGCTGTTGAGTTCGGGTGTGGGGACGAAGAGCTCGGAATCGTCTGGCGGACGGTTCAGTTGGTAGTCGTCCGTTGGAAGGAGTCGACAGGCCAGCCTACTGCGCTGGGTGCTGACCAGAACGAGGGTGACGAGCACCGGGAGTGGGAGGCCACAGGCAGTGGGACTGACCGGGTGGCGCTGTGCAGCAGCGAGGCGGAGTAAGTAACGGGCAGTAGGAGAGGGAATGAATCCGGGCGCATTTCAGCGTCGGATTCATTCGAGGAAGGAGCTCGGGACCGATGGGCGATAAGGGCCGAGCTGCTGAGACTACGAGGCGCTAGCGCAGCGGTGGTGGGTGACAAAGCCTCGGAGCGACGGGACGTAGGCAGGCAGCAAGAAGGTAGGCCGCAGTTGGCAGAAGGAACAGAGGGCAGATCGACACCGACATACAAGGGTTGATACTGATGTAGATACGAACATGGATCTCAATTTCGATATGGCTGTCAATGGTGTGCTGGATGCTCAACTCTTCTTTGGACGTGCCATTCCGGGGCTGTTGCCTTCTGTCGCTTTGCTTTGATTGAAGGTGAATGACAACGGGCCAGCCGACAAAGGTCCTACAACAGTGTTGATTGTCGGCCGTATGATTTCACGGAGAAAGTGGAATGAACCTGGACACTGAATCGCGCCAAGTGCATTCGGACTTGAATGAGGAAGGTGATGGCGGGGAGATGAGTAAGGCGCCGCGGGAAAAGAGACACACGAATTTCAACGGGATTAGGTGGGAGAAGAGGCTAGGTAGGGGTTTTGAACGAAGGCGAATCCAGATCTACTGTTAGTTTTGGCAATGGGTTAGTAGGATGAAATGTAGTAGAGAGAGGGGGTGTGCGGAGCTATGGAGGAGAGTGAAGGAGTAGAAGAGTGAAATCAAGGTAACCCAGCCGTTTCATAACCGATTTTGACGATTTAAAGTGCTAGATCAAGATTTCTGAGGCGGGCGAAACCAGCTCGAACGTCAGTTTTAGTGTTAGAATGACAGGTTAGGAGTTAGTAAGAAGAAACGTCGCGCGGGAGATGGCGGAGACGTGAAAGAAGAGAGATGAGGGAGTGTTGGACCCACCCGTTTCTCAACGAGATCAGGCAGGGAAGGAAGAGTTCCAGGGGCTTTAAGGTCAGGCGATCCTGTATTTGAGGGTAGATCCAACGGTGTAGTAGTTTTGGATTGTGTGTAGTGTGGTGGTCTGTATGATTGAACCTGGTCGTGATTCCGGGTAGGTACTTTCACCATTAAGAACGATTACGCATGAGACAAGTGCGGATTCGAAGGAGGTAACGCACGAGAGCTTGAACAGGGGCAGAGAGAGGAAGAAAGAATACTTACCTACGGAATGAAAGACAAAACAGCGAAACAGCGATGCATCTCCCCATTTTTTTAGTGGCTGTGAGGAATTGAGTGGTGAATTTGATACGGCAATCAAAACAGCGATGCATCTCCCCATTTTTTTAGGGGGAGATTCATCCTCAACTTGTATAGTCTGAGTTAGCAAATGCTGGAGCGAGTCGACACTGGTATAGTGGTTCCATCCATTGCGGACGCATCTATACAGGTTTAAAGGAAGCTACGTTCGTGGTTTGACCAAGAATAGGATGGAGCAGCAGTTAATGGACAGGCTTTCACCGAGCGGGCGATGCGGGATGAACCGGGAGTCAAGCCACAAAGTATTGCTGTGTGCCAATAGCAAGAGATTTTGTCGAGGGCCTTCCCATACTCCGGCGACAGGTTCACTTCCAATTTGTACTTCTGATAGGTACGGGAGGCGAGGCCGTGATGCGGTTGGTTGCATCTGGTAATGCTCTGAGAGACAGTCCAGTCTCCCTATGTGTGAAGGGCGAGCCGGGTGGAGGAAAGTCTGATTGCAAGCGGGCTGAGTTGAACACCTACTCGTATGCTGAGACACAGCTTCACCCAGTGGTTAGGAGTGACAGGGAGATGAGCCACTAGCTTGGCAAGCTGCATACAGAGTGATGATGGATGTTTCTGCGTGCCGGCGGTAGACTCAGTCGCGTCTCACATTTGACTGGAGCAACTGTGAGATCACATGCTGTTGCAGTGCTTACTCCGGATTGCTATGGGCATCGCTGGTACATGTTGTTGCGGTGTTTATTGCGGATGGGTGTGCGACTGCAGGAAAGGCTGTGCAAACGGCTGTGCGTCCGCTGTATTACTGTACTTGCTGCTTCCCCCTGCGCCTTGCTGCGCAAGTTGCTGTGTACTTCCACATTTTTGGAACAGAGCACGCGATATGTGCACGGTCTGAGTACGGCTGCTTAAGACCGCGTAGCTGCAA